ACGTCAACTGACCCACCTATGATGCCACTAACTGAGCAGTCAGTAATACTGATATGCTATTAAAGTATGCTGATTGCACGAGCAGTGCAGTATACAGTCACTTACATTTTTTTTTAAAACACATTCACCTACACAATGTCTGATCAAGGCAAAACATCACGGAGCTCCACATGGTGCCCTCCAGCTAAGAATGAGCCTGTCCAATCAATAGCTTAGTTTATTGCTTTGCCATTATTAGAGTGGTATCCATGACCATGTCTGTAAACACCTTTATGGAGGAAATCAGGCTAAGCCGTGATTTATGGTCAGGCAATAGCAGGGGATGCTTATCAAGGGTCCTTGGAGAGAAACAGGAAATTGAGTTTGTCCAGTGTAACGGTGGGTAGAGAGACAGGCAGACCGATCTCTTCCTATTAGCAGAGATATGTTATTCATGAGGGCAAATTTAGTGTGAACTATGTTTCATTGGTATTCTACACAGTCACTTCTCACTGTCTAGGGACCAGAGACATTTTATTTTATTCATTTATTTATCTATTTCCCCCTCGGTGACGGCTAGGAATAAAGGGACTGGGTGACCGCGGGGTCACATGGTCAACCGTCTGGACCAATAGCGGGCTGTTAAATCATTCTCCCCCGTAACAAGCTATTAACAGCATCTGTCATCAGCAACCAGGGAGCGAGACGGGCCTGGGTGGGTGGGTAGGGTAGGGTGGGGAGAGACACCAGCCCTGGGAGGGTGGGGAGAGAGATGGGCCCTGAGAGGGTGGGGAGAGAGATGGGCCTTGAGAGGGTGGGGAGAGAGATGGGCCCTGGGAGGGTGGGGAGAGAGATGGGCCCTGAGAGGGTGGAGAGGGAGATGGGCCCTGGGAGGGTGGAGAGAGAGATGGGCCCTGGGAGGGTGGAGAGAGAGATGGGCCCTGAGAGGGTGGAGAGAGAGATGGGCCCTGGGAGGGTGGAGAGAGATATGGGCCCTGGGAGGGTGGAGAGAGAGATGGGCCCTGAGAGGGTGGAGAGAGAGATGGGCCCTGGGAGGGTGGAGAGAGAGATGGGCCCTGAGAGGATGGAGAGAGAGATGGGCCCTGGGAGGGTGGAGAGAGAGATGGGCCCTGGGAGGGTGGAGAGAGAGATGGGCCCTGGGAGGGTGGAAAGAGAGATGGGCCCTGGGAGGGTGGAGAGAGAGATGGGCCCTGGGAGGGTGGAGAGAAAGATGGGCCCTGGGAGGGTGGAGAGAGAGATGGGCCCTGGGAGGGTGGAGAGAGTAGGGAGGGAGGAGGGTGGAGGGAGGGAGTGACGAGAGTCGGCACCAGAAATAGCTGCGGTGCCACATTTCCAGAAACACATTATCTCTCTTTCAGAACCTCTTTTATTCTGCTGCATTCCAATAGGCATTATTGGCATATCTACACTTGTGTGTGTCCAAAGCTATTTATATAATACAACTTAGGCTGAATGGCTCATTGTGTGAGCAAACAATGCCGTTATGATTATGACACATTCATTTCCTGCATTTTTATTTGATGAAGCCTGTACTGCACCGTCCTTATTTACCTCCTCTCTGTTTAACTCAATCTGTCTGTCAATAGCTCTCTGAACAAACATCTCTGAACAAACTCTGACTATATCTACATGATCTGTCTCAGTCATTCCTAGACAACCTTTTCTGTCTACCTGTTGTGTGTGAATGCATGCATGTGCGTGTGTACCTGCATGTTGTGTATCCACAATGGCTCGGGGGTGATGAGATCAGTGAGCTGGCAGGTGTCTAGCTGAGACCAGCTGCGGAGGAGACAGCCGCCGTGCCATGCCACTGTGCCGCAGCATGCCACCGTGCCCTGAAAGGAGGGCGAGGGTGGAGCTCACACGTTCCCTCCCGTCTCTCACACCAGAGACACAGACAAGCTTAGTGGGTATTTTAAGCAGCTACATGGCATCTACATCAACAGCTCCCGTCTCCCTCTGCTACAGGAGAGGAGGGATGCTAAACAGAAACAGATCCTGGTCCAAGGGGAGGTTGGGAACGGAGAGGAGATATAATGTTAGGCCACTCTACTGGACTGTTTGGTTTTTCTCTACACATTATCTGAGGCGTTGATAGAGAAACTTAATAAGATGGTAGAAGCAGTCATTTAAGGGAAGAGATTAATCTGAGTAAAGAATCAATTACTGGGTTCTGACATGCTGGGGGGGGGGGCAGAGGAGAGAGGGGGGAGACAGAGGAGAGAGGGGGATCTTTACGTATAAAACTTGATTAGCATCTGGTCCCCTGATTGATTCAAATTGTTTCCCTATCTAAGTAGGATCTACCTAGTTCTATTAAAGACATGTAAATAAAGAAAAGCAAGGCGCGGAAAAGTGTAATATAATCACAGGCCTTAGTGTGGTGGCAGCTCTGAGAGGTGAAAGGAGGAGGCACTGGATGGATAATGGAATAGATAAGGAAACTATTCTACCTGAGCCATTCAATGATTCATAGCTGGAACATAGTTTCTCTTAAATAAATGGTATCCAAAAGCAATGTAGACCACACAAAGTGGAGTAGGGTGAAATTGTAGTATGACATAAACAGTGATGTTTGTGTTAGAAGATAAATCCAAATACTGTATATGTGTATGAAGTACAGTATACATTATAATGGAAAAAGGCGAGCCAAAGTACAGTATACATTGGTAAATAGAAAAGATGTCAATATTATGAATATAAAGCTGTTTTTCAAATAGGATGCATTGTGATAAATGGAAATATTCCTCAAACAGGGTGATCCATTTAGTGTGTCTGTGTCTGTGTATTTGTTTGATACATCCTCCCAACCTTTATTTCCCGGGAGCAATCCAGAATGTTTCCACTCATTTAGTCAAAGAGCAAGTGCCATACTCAATACATCTCCATGTAAATAGAATAGCGAAAGCGAAAATTGGGGAGAGAGAAAGAGGGAGAGACCGAAATAGACAAACAGAAAAAGAGTGGAATCTACAGAAGTAAAATGACCACTATTTGATTGGGAAGTGTCCTCTCACAACAATGTAATACATTTTAGAGAAAAAATAAGAAGAACCCTTTCTAGTTGTCTGGAAGTAGTTTTTTCTGTACTTGTGACTCAAATATCAAGTTCCATTTTGTAATCCTCTTGTTTTCCTCTAGGACATTCCTCTTGGCTTTGTGAAAGGTCCAGGTATAGTGCTTTACTGGTAGGCCTAACGTATGAGTGGGGGATGCGTGCCCCAATGCAGTGAACCATCAAATGTGTCCTGACACTGATGCCACTCTGCTGCAAGGGCAGAGATGGCAGTGGCTGTGCCGTGTCCTCTGACCAAAGTGCATAGTCCTTTCCCCTCTGGCACTATGGCACCAAATGCACCTGTGTACGACACGACTATCAAGGACTCTTAGAAATCTGTGACTCCCTTTTCTTACCGTACACTGTGTGTCCACAAAGGATGACAGTGAAGTGCAGTGCACTCTGTGATACTGTTAAACAGTTTTACACACAGTTCAACCTTGAAAGAACCTGTATTCGGGAGCATGTTTGCATGGTGGATTGGGAGGAAGCACGGCTAGTTCGTTGTCACCCAGCTGCAGTCAGTTGAAAAACAGGATTACAGGGCCTGTTCTGGGGAGCGGATAGGCTTCTGCCCCTGTTCAAGTAACATGATGCACGGCACACCACTCCTCTCCTCTACTCCACTACGGTCACCAGACCAGACACACTGAGAATTACCGATGAAGGTCAGTAAAGTCAGACACTGAATGTCTGGGGAGGCGGAGGAATATTCAGATAAATACGCCTGTCTATGCTGTCTAATATTCTGAAAGAGACTAATTCCCTGCTCCTGAATTCCAGTGTAGCAGCCCTGGGATTAGGTAGCAGCGAGTTAAAAGGCAACAGAAACGTATCGATTAGAGGGAGTGAATCGCTGCACCATGATGCCTTGAATAATAAATTGAAGGGAACACAGCCGCTTGTCAAATGGGGGGACTCATTATGAGGGGATAGACTCCTGCTTTTCTCCCGTTGGTTGATTCCCCCTGTAGATCAGCAGATGGATAAGTCACACTACGGGGCCATGGAAGCACGTCACCAAACAGCAGGAAGTCTGTTTCTGAGAAACTTTACATAAGTTTAAGTGAGCATTAAACCCCCCCCCCCCCCCGCTTTGACAGGTGTGCTTTGACAGGTATTTTCTAATCCTTATAGTAGAGTTGTAGTGAGCTTATGGACACAGATTAACTGCCTCATATGACTATCTCCCAGAGGTGAGGAAATATTCAAAAACTTAAATTTTGTGTGTGCAGGAGGCGGTACATGAACAAAAATGATCCATACTGTAATATAGATCCAATCAGACTTCCTTAGATACTAGATACAGCGACCGACTGAAGCTCATGTTATTGTTTGGGCTGATCTTGAACAGACTCTAAGAGCAACACAGACCTCATTCTGGAACCGACTTAGACACCGGAGGATTTGGAGTTGTGGATACTGAGCCAAGAGTGTAATGCAATGTCCACACTTGTATTGAGTGGCTTGATAGCAGCAGAATTCCTCAAAGGCCCAATGCCACACTGTGAAGCCAGAAAATCTATGATAGCAACAGGTCACTTGGCATGAGTCATCTATCAGGACAGAATACGTTTTTCTCTCTAATATAAATATATCTGACAGTCTCTCTCTGATCCCTACATCATTCCTCATACTGTTTACTCCTGACCTGGCTGTCTCCATATCTCCCATCTTCTTTATCATCCTACCCCCTTGCCCTTCCTTCCTCCTAGTCAATATCTCACTCTTTTATCACTTTGATTCCACTTACAGTATTTCTCCTCTCCCCCAACTTATCTTTCTCAACTTCCTCAAAAATAATATTCCAAAAACCATTCTTCTTTCCTTTCAAGTCCTGAAGTGGACATCAAAGTCAAACAGCCGAATTTCAATTCAGAATCAGATCCCCAGTCTAAATATAGCTACATCCTCAAATTAATTTTCCTCTCTCTCTCCAGGCTGCGGGCTAGAGTTCCTGCTGGTTCTCTGTGGTCTGGAGCTATCCTGGTCCTGCCCACACCACTGTATCTGCTACACCGCGCCCAGTACTGTCAGCTGCCAGGCACACAACTTCCTGTCCATCCCCGAAGGCATTCCCCCGCACAGCGAGCGCATCTTCCTGCAGAACAACAAGATCCACCGGCTGCTACAGGGCCACTTCAGCCCCACCACGGTCACACTGTGGATCTACTCCAACAACATCACCTACATCGAGCCCTCCACCTTCCACGGCTTCGCACAGCTGGAGGAGTTGGACCTGGGGGACAACCGTCACCTGCGCTCCCTGGCTGCAGACACCTTCCATGGGCTGGGCCGGCTCCATGCTCTGCACCTGTACCGCTGTGGGCTCAGTGCGCTGCCCAGTAACATCTTCCAGGGGCTACGCAACCTGCAGTATCTCTACCTACAGGTACACTGGCCACTTGGGCTCTAAGCACTCTGAGTCAAACGAAACAATGCTGCATTTTATATTAGAATTTAAAAATATATATATATATACCCAGGGCTGTTAAGCTGTAGTTTCTCTGTCTTACTTTATAGTAGCCACATACCTTATAACCAAACAACATTTTGGGAGGTACAGTGTTACAGAGTGCTGTAGGTGTATAACCTCTCCATTTTGCTGTGTTTGGCTGTTCTCAGGATAATCACCTGGAGTTCCTGCAGGATGACATCTTTGTGGACCTCCACAACCTGAGCCACCTGTTCCTGCATGGGAACCGTCTGTGGTCGCTGCACCAGAACACCTTCCGGGGGCTGGGGGCCCTGGACCGCCTGCTGCTGCACCACAACCAGCTGCAGTGGGTGGACCGCCTGGCCTTCCACGACCTGCGTCGCCTCACCACCCTCTACCTGTTTAACAACTCACTGACTGAGCTGTCTGGAGAGTGCCTGGCACTGCTGCCTGCCCTGGAGTACCTGCGCCTCAACGACAACCCCTGGGAGTGTGACTGCAAGGCCCTGTCACTGTGGGACTGGCTCAAACGCTTCCGAGGTTCTACTTCGTCCGTAGGCTGTCAGGCCCCGGCTGAGCTGGCTGGGAAGGACCTCAAGCAGCTCCACAAGGAGGACTTCCCCAACTGCTCTGGCTCTGAGTCCCTGCACCAGAGCAAGACCTGGGCCGGGACTGATAAGGTGTCTCTGAAGAAGGAGCCACACCCGGTGCCACCGCCTCACTCCCACCCCCACCGCCCTCACCACAACGAGGCACCACACTACCCCTCACCGCCCTCGCCTCTGCCCCATCCGCCCCCGTCCATAAGCGGGGAGTCCCTGGGATCAGAGGGACATCCTGGGGTGGCGCCCCCTCAGAGGCCAGGCCGTGCTCGGAACTGTACCCGCCAGCGTGTCAGGGGAGGCAAGGGGAAGGGGCAGAACGAGGTGCATACCTTAAAGGAGATGGCCGATAAGGAATATTCCTCACCTGATTTTGAAGGGGGCAAATATGACCACACGTCTCCGGATGCTACCGTCACGCGGAGGAAGAATAAGTGCCCTCCCCGGACCACTGTTCGCCCACCTAGTGGGGTGCAACAAGCCACCAATAGGGCCATGTTCTCCCAGCCCTTAGTACATCTCAACGCCATACTGGGAGCTTTGTTGCCCATGACCATTGCCCATATTCTCCGCTGACCTAGAGGAGGGGATATATACTGGCTAAACAACAACAGTGCAGTCCTCAGACCTGCTCTAGCTCCTGCACACCAAGGCCTGTGTGTGTGTGTATACTTTGTGTGTGTGTGTACTTTGTGTGTGTGTGTGGTTGTGTGTGTAAAACATTGTGTAGGGAGCTTTGCTGTTTAGACTCTGAAATAAGACTTTCAAACATCAACATCAAATGTGAAAAGACTCACGACACTGTGTGTGGAACGGGGAGTGAGGAAAGACGAAAGGAAAACACAGAACACGCTTGCACTGCCACTGTTGCCATTATGTTCTCATTTCCTGTTGTCTTGATCTCTTTCTGTCTGAGTTCTGTCTTCGACTCTACTGGAGCGCAGACAACCAAACTTTTTGGGAAAAGAAAGAGATGTTGAAATGCAGCAATTTAGCTATGAGACAGATAGACTCTAAGGAAAGCCAGCTTTAATGATCAGTTCACAGTTTGTAAATCCTTATTGAGGGGGTGAAATAGAAAACAGATGATGTGGTGAAAGAAACCATCACACACAGAGAAGTCTAGCCCTATCTTGTGTTTCATATTATTTACCAACTGTTTTTTTATTACATTCATTGCCAATAACTGCTGCATAGAATTGGGCCGAGATATCCGAGGCGGTATTGCTCATCAACAGGGAGATAAGCAGGTAGCTGCCCGGTCATAAATCATAATTCCATATCAGAACAGGAATGTGCAACGCTCACTTCTTAGCAGAAGTAATGGAAAACTACAGAAACAGCACTGCAAAGTGCAGCACACACACAGACCAGTCAGCTCCAGCTACAGTAGGATAGCTAGGTAACTTCTGCTCCATGTCCAGGTATCATTGACCCCGAGCTACATATCTAGGTATCTTCTGCCTACTTTACAGTATTTCTACAGTATTTACGTCCTGCTTTATTGATTCCTGAGTCTAAATGTCCTGTCTTTCTACCTGCTCCATTTCATTTTCTACATGTGCTACAACATATTAAGCTATTATACCCAAGCTGCTAATTATCTGTATGGAGGTAAGTGGGACTGTGGTCGACTCCCATCTCCTTCAAAAATCAGTGTGTGTCCCCCAGGAGAAGAAAGCTGTGAATATTGATGGATCTGTCTATTTCTTGTCTCAGTTGTTTGTTTGATTTTGCCTAGACGTAAAGAGGACCTAGAGATGGAGCCCTATACAGGGTACAGGGTTACGGCCTGGGGCCGGAGCCTTAGGGGTTAAGGGTCAGATTGGGTATTTTCAGTTTCCCAGTGAGGCTTTGGGCTTCGCTGAACAGAACACTCTTCAGTGAGGGCATCCCTTCCTCATTGAGAATTGAAGAACATTGATATTTTCCTAATCATTGGACATCAAAGGAAAACAACTGCCCAACAAGACTAGAGAAGAAACAAAACAATATGTGTACCTTAAATGACTTCTGTAATGAATAAAAGATTATAAGAGTAAAAACATTTTGAATCGAGCATGGCAAAATGTGGACCGCTCTCTTGGAAATAATAGAACTGCTAAAATGTCTCTCTCTACAATGACTGCTGTTCTTTTCAATGGATGTGGGGAACCAAGAGAAAGACAATCACTTCTAAAGTAGCAGGGGGTTTAACAGGACGATGGACAGACAAACGGACAGACTACTGCTGGACTACTGTCCCCCTGGACTACTGGAGCTTTTGTGCCTCCGGAAAATACGACAATAAGTTGACGATGTTTGTAATAATAATGATGTGAACTGTACCATTAACAAAGACAACAAGAGGACTAACTAACTGGAGTTCTAATATTAATCATTTATTACGAGAATAACAATATTAATGACATCATCAACAATGAAAACAGGGTTTCTGCTCCCCTGATGAGGGGAGAATCTTTCTTTAAATTCATTTACCGTTTCATTGTTTTTGTTTACTAAAAGGAACATTTTTTATTTCCTTTTTTTGTTACATCCTCTCAACCCCTTTATCCGATAAAATAATGCACAATTCAGTTCCCCCTCCTACTGTTCCCCATCTATCTTCTGTCTTTGCCATGACTGAATGGTTCAATAAGTCGTTATCAAAGAACAACAGTATAAAATGTTTATAAAGATATTAAAATCTATATCTTCGTATGTTAAAGATGACTGGTTGACTGTGTTTATTTAGTATTCAGACACTGGCTTACACAAGGTTGTGCAGTAGGCCCTGGAGATGGTGGTAGTCAGGCTTGATCCTCCCTTGTCTATCTCTTTATTATTCATTTAAAGCTGAAATTGGCTCTGTCAGCAAGTTTGTATTTTTCCTCCGTTTTCCCCTCAGTATGTGCACTACTTTGCAATCTGTCTCCCCTCATCAGACACTGGCTGTTTTCTACAAATAGAGACATCTCCCTGGCTCAACGCTTGGCTTTATATACATATGCAACACACACATCAATAAGAAATTGATTTTATTTGAGAGAAATTGACCAAAGAAAGCAGGCCCAAAGCATTACAGTAAGTGACATGTATTGACCAAAAATACAAAAAGAAACACAGACTACTGTAGACCTACATGCAGAGTTCTGTACAGAGTCAGTGGAACACATATCTCGGTATAATACACTGCAGTTCAATAAATCATTTAAAGGGCACGAAGGGTATTTATGAGTGTGTCACAGTGAATCTGTAGATATTCAGGGTTATTATTATTAATGGAACTTTAGAACATCCATTTTATTTCCTCTTCTCTACCTCTCTCACCATGATGGAAATTGATCCACATGTAAGTGTGTAATTTATTTGTATATATATATATATATATTCTGTTAAACGAAAAAGGGGAAAAATATGCATCGTTGAGGATGGCTGCGGAATTACACATTTAAATTGATGAGTAGCTTTGGCATCTAATAGCATTGGGCTCTAGCTCCATCAAGCCCCTCTCTCATGTCATTTCTCTCTTTTTCCCTCTCTGTCCTCTCTCTCTCTCCTGTCCTATCCCTCTCTTTCTCTCTCTCTCTCTCTCTCACACACACACACACACACACACACACACACACACACACACACACACACACACACACACACACACACACACACACACCTGTCTCTATTAACATACCTCAATACTATAAGTACATAAGATGGACAGTCATTGAGCTCTCCAACCACGTAGGCTATAGTTCTGCAAGCCCACCAAGCCCCCTCGGTACTAACTGCATGACAGGTGAATGTGTTCGGGAGAGAATGTGTTCTTCTGATCTTCTCCCTGGAACTGAGACAATACTCCTTTTTTTTTTTTTTTGGCATACTGTATCATCAATATTATTCCATCAAATACTGTACACTCTAGGGAGCTATACTGTGAATTTGATTTGCAGGCTTGGTTATAATATTACCTTTACCACATATACAGTAGTCACTGTGTGGAACTTGGCATTCCTTCAAACAGTTGAAGCCATGCAGACATTCACTATAAACTCAACTCCACTTAGCAGTCCTTCTCAGTAGAGGCATCATGGAGCGATAAGGGTGTACAGAGAATAAACCCATGCTGACAAACGATGCCACCATTTCCTTAACTAACAGGATCATTGCAAATCGTCCCGACTCATTAGGAAATGACACTGACAATTAAGCAGTTTACAGCTACATAAGCCATTCCATATTACTGCTCACTTCACTAGGGCAATCATTGGTTACACATTTAGTAGCGTGCTCAGAGAGCCAGACACAACACCCCATTAACCAATCACACTAATCTGAATCTACTGCTGCCCTAAAAACAAGGATAGTCCAAATGTATGCCTATGCCATAAGTATGCTATACAGGATACATTTAAGCAATAATACATGAGAGGCTATGTGTTATGACATTTTTATCATGGCTGTGATGTGGTCATAGCCACGAGGTGAAGCTGAGTAGACCATCACAGCCATGATAAAAATGTCATAACACATGGACTTGAGTGTATTACTGCTTTTATACAACGGGTTACCAGCATTAAACATGAAGATTCTTTCGCAAACCATCAATTTTTCAACATAACGTGATACTAGATTCACTAACACTGGTTGTCAAGTGACATTTTAGGTGTTCTCTGGTCGTTAGTTCTATTCGTATTGACTGCCATGTAAAGCAAAACTATCCAAGCGCTGGTTGATAGTTCCAGAACCTTGGTTTCTAGGGACGCTTCCCATGGATCTGAAAACAGTGCACCTCTGGTCTATGCATAGGAAAATTGAATGTCAGATCTAAACATTGTATAGGGGCGCTGTCCATGGATCTGAAAACAGTGCTGAAACATTGTAGTGAAGACATTGATACAGCAGATCAGAATAGAAACCACAATGAATAATTTTTTCGGGTGGTCACAGCATCGACAGCTATTTATTTATGAATTGCACATTTCCACAGCGCAGAGCTCGTTCCGCTAGGTTCTCATACATGCAGCCACAACGATTCTCTGTCTCTTTCCAGTGGATTTCTGTGGTTCTTGGTTTCTTCATTTTTGTCTTATTTCATTACAAATGAGTCTGGATTCAGTTCGCGATTTCCTGCAACTGCAAATCAAACCACACCTTATTCAGTAGGTGGTGTAGAAACTCCGGAGAATATTACCGGTTTTGAAACAGTTGCCAGATCGATGTTTATACCCATTTCTGACAGCCATTCCAGAAAGCACTTCACTGCCCAGTTGGTTTGTCTTGATGTAGCTAGCTTCTTCATTTCTCTCCTTTTCTATGTCATCTATAACAGCACTAACGTTACTGATTTCTGCATGTCTAATGTTAACGCTAGGCTCAGGTTGTTGGTCCACTTGCTCTTCTTCTTGTTTCATTTCTTTAATATCCTCCTTCTCTTCTTGTTGGCACCATTCATTAAACGTTAGTGGATAAAACAAATCAAAGGTAACTTTAAAATCATCCATGAGGAGTTACAGGTGCTAAGACTAGTAGTTGTAAAAGTAGTAGTGGTAGTGCGTTGCTAGGTAACGACATAAACGATGCCACTGTATATGAAT